GCTAAACTTTGCGAGCGAAGATTCTGAAATCATCTCATCATCCACTAGGGAAATAACACTGACAAATAAATATGAAAAATAATCATGAAATACTTTGAAAAGACACACACATAGAGATTCGACAGGAAAACTGGACTTAAAATTAGGTTGAATACAATGCGAAAACAGAAAAAAACTGGACGCAGACTTAAAAATTTTCAAAAAAAAGCTGAGATTTTCGAAATCCGTCGCGAGAACCTTTTCAAAATCCAAAAAATCCTCATATTTGTCAATATCTTTCACCGGTTTATCATCGCGATAGAAACGTAGTGATGGAAATTGCAGCTTGCCATTAATTATTCCCGATGCTTTCACCTGGAATATTGAACATAAACGCTACTTTTCACATGGAATAAAAACAGTTCAAGAGGAATTCGTTAGTACGTTAAGAGAACGTTAATGAATCTTCAATGATGACTGCACCTCGACCACTTGCAGATTGTCCCTATGAACGTAGTTGGTAGCCCTATCGCTATTCGTGCACTTCCTATGTATCCAATCAGGTACCATTTTACCACTTAACCAACCATGGTCCATTTTCAGTTTGCCTATTAAACGTTTCCGAGTGACATCGTCCAAACCTCTTGCCACTTTACCGACAATGTAAAACTTATCGTCTGAAAATATTCATTGATAACATTGAGAATCTCAACTGTATACAAACATCGTTGATCATTCTTCTTTGATTGTCCAGAGGAATTTATTGCTTTAATTTTTCACTAGCCACATTTTAACCATTGGCCATATTGTTTTAAAAGCAATCAACATTTCGATTTCCCCACATTGCCGTCATTCTCATCAAGAATATCATCAGGGACACTACGGTTCATACAAACCACGTTTCGAACTGAATATAAATAGTGCGAAAACGCTCCTGATACTAGTGTATTAAAGAATATCATTATACGTATCTTACTTCGCGCATACTCATTTTTGTTCTCTTGAGAATGCTCACTAATGAAAATTTGTAAAATATAATTCACGAAGATATATCCTGAATCTCAAACCTCGGAGAACAGCCACCACAAAGTTTTCGATATAACCGTTCCTTCCGAGATCCACACCAACAATTGCTAAATCTAACGTTTCTTCGCCCAAATGAAACGGTTTCACCTTCAAACAGAATACTTGAGTAACTCAACAGAACACAAATTTGAATTTTCAGTTGAAGACGAAAACGAAAAATAACCTTAAACCATCCATTAACCATGTAACGGACGCCAATTTTATAGAACGAATCAATTTTCTTCACTACAATGCCCTCTTCACCATCGCGCATCGCATTTTGGTACAATTCCACGAACTGATCCCTTTAAAAGGTGCGATTTTGAATGCAATTTATCTCTTCAAGAGTCACTCCATTGACTATGCTTAAAAATCACTGCAAAAATGGACTCCAAATTCTCATTACTACACACAAAATATCACAACAGATATCAATCACATTACCAAAAAAATTAATCCAAAACATTGAACATCATGAAGCATCTCAAAAGACCTGATCTTACCTACTGCTGACTACATGGAAGTCAGCATTGAATATGACTCCTCTGTCTTCACCACAAAACACAGAGCCATTTCGCAGCAGTTGTTTGCGCTTCTCCAACGTTGTGTTCATCAACGATTCACCATTCAAAAACAGCACATCAAAAACGGCCAAACACGCTTGCACGGTCACGCTGTCCTTCAGATTCTTCACATCGTACACTCGACCATCGCTTGCCGCACGTCCTTTGCCCACTGCAAGTGCAGTGAATTATTCTCATTCTAATCACGTCACCCGTGATTCAGAGCATAACATAAGTCAATGAAATGCTTTCAAAACAAAATTTTCAACTACTATTTTGACAATACCAATCGCACCACAAACATAACTTTTGCTTGACTAAATCACTGAATTGATTCAAAAATTTCGCACCATATTTTTTATCGACTGTATCCCACAACAGCAATTCGGCATCGAGGATACAATTTTTTAGAGACGACGCGAAAAATGAGCTGATTCGCTGGTTCAGCGATGACGATATGGTGGCCGTGAAATCATTCTGATTCCGAGAGTAGTATCGATAATCGAATGAAGAGACATCAGATGTTTTTGACGAGGACGGTGATGAATCTGATGCCGTCGTTCGTTTACAATGCAACAAAAAATGCTCCCCATCGAATTTCAACTCCACATAAAATGGCTTACCGCAATACTGAACCAACTGTAATATGCGAAACTGATCACTGAACAATGCAACGTTGAGCCGAGAAATATTAAATTCTGCATGCACAGTTCCATTCAGCAGAAATAGCGTACGAAAAATCACCAAAATGCTATACTGTTATTTCAAAATTATGATATTGAATATTGGTAGTTTGAACAATTCAAATAAAAGTATTGGATCTGGAGCACAATAAAAGTTTGAATTTTGATGACTTAAACAACAGCAATACCAACGATAAAGAGAAATTATGGTTAGAACGATAATAATAATACTAACAAAAAATAATCGCAATAATGAAAAGAAACGTAAACGAACCTTATCGTAAACGTTCGATCCATGTTTTATCCTCGACAGC